AAGGGGAAAAGTGAAGTGACGCCAAGAGCCGTTTTGGGACTAGGGTCATTAAAACTACCATTTAATTTGTGGACCCTCTACGAGCCCATTTTTTGGGTGGTGTCGATACCGACGATTTTTCCCAAAAGTCTGAAAAAGTCTCCGTTCTCGATATACAGATCAGAGTAACACTGACCTAGGAACTCACTCCTAGGCCAGGAGCCCGGTAGCGTTTGAATGAACATACGCAGTCATAAACCTTCGTGGCCGTAAGGGGTTTCATGTACACATTTCATGGATCTGCTTCAGTTGTAGGCTTGTTATGTATGCATTGTCGACGCCGGTGTTGTTTGTAAGAGCACAGTTCGACGAACTGCCATGCCCCTCAATGCCAGCACGGAGATGATGGCTTCCTCTTTTGGAGCTTCAGTTTGCTGTGTTGGATTGTTGCAGAACGCGATGGACCATGGTGGGACGGGCTAGAGACTTGAGGACCAGAAGGTTTGAAGGCCTGGATAATTGCGTGAACTTCGTAACCACCTTGGCTCCAGATTGGACCAAAGTGGTACCATGCTGTAGGTTGGTCAGTCGTTGGTGCTCGTCAGCAATAGCGTTGAGAGTCAGCGAAGAGGCTTGCTCAAGCCAGTTGAGCAGACGCATTCGGATGTCTGCGAATTTCGGAAACTTGAGGCTGCATATAAAAATGAGGGATTTTAATTGGTCACTTGTGAGCGATTTCAATCTGAATCGTTCGCACCCACGATTAACAATGCGAATATGCGTCAAAAAATCGTTTGACTCGTTCAACCAAATTTGTCCAGCGGTACCGCGTATTGAACAGGGAAGACCGTTCCCCAAGAGTATGCTTTAGAGTTTACACTGTGTTATCGAAAGGCTTGACGCGTAAATTCTGCGGTAGAATCAGGTTGCATTACTTGTCCTGCTCAGACGGGCCAAGTTGACGAAGCAAGAGCCGGACAATCAATGCATCGTCCTGCGCAACAAGACCGACTCGGACTAGGTCCTCTATCGGTGAAACCATGTCTTGAACATGAAGTTAGCGTCTCGACCATAGTTAAACTCCGCTATATTATTCGCTACTACGTCGACCTGTTGACTTGGAGCCGGATGGGACGTAGCATCATAGCGGGAGCCTTCAGCCGCTTTACCTGTTACTGGAGCAGTGCTCCCACTTTAGCGGGATCTATAATGAGTAGACCGAAACACTTCGTCGTCGAACGATATGCATCGGAAACGGCTACGTGCAATAACTGTACGCGGCCTGAGAACGAGCACACTAATCCAGCTATGACGCACGCCCAACCACTCCTGGCGCGGAGAGGGAAGAAGACCAAACCTTCAGGGTAGGGCTTTTACTGCCCCAAACAAAGACAAATCACAGCGGATCCACCGTTAAATGTATATATTTCGAGCAACGATTTTTGAGAACAATAAACCCGTTTGCGCACACAAAGTCCAACTGGCTGACAGGAAACAGACGCGGTCGTTTTGGATTGAGATGCAACATGGCGGATGGAGCGCGAGGTTTAAAGGTCCAAGATTCCATAAAAAATGACAAACTCAAAAAATAAACGGTTTTGTAGGGATGCCGATATCCTCAGCAAGGCCCGATGTGTATGAATGCCGGTGGCCATGAGAGTTGCTGCCAGGGGTATTCTTGCTAACGGTCCAAGCGGTCCAAGATTATCACGCTAGTTTGATGCTTGATGTTTTTGCTCACAGGTGGCTTCCGCGGGCCCATCAGCTGGATCTGGACCCTTTCCGTTTCCTTAACCAGGCTGCATGGATGGTACGTGCGCTGAATTTCACTTGGTGACTGACAGCTCGCCGGCCGCGGGCTAAATTGTTTGGGACGTGCGGAAACATTTCTCTGAGATTCACAAGTCACACCACTCTCTCTCTGATATCCAATGCTTGCGGGGACTTGGTGGCGCCAGTATGGGCAATGATGTGACCGCGTTCCAGTATGCTTTGGCATCTAACGATGAAGCCGTTGAACGAGAATCCAGAAGGTGATCCTAACAGATTCGTTCAAATTCGGGGTGTCACCCTCTCAGTTGACGGGCGACTTTTCTGCGGCTTACGTAGCCCTGGAAAACGAAAAGGGCAATCCGGGTCACTGCATGGTCGGAATCCACGCAACTGTTCCAAGATGAGCGCCCGATAGTTATTGATCCGCGCTGTCGGCAACTGATAGTGACCATTTTGAGTCCGTGGCTGACACGCCGGATACCATGTAACCAGATGACTTCGGAACTCAGTACTATATAAAACAATCTGCGGTCAGCACATAGCTGGATCAGTGGTCCGTCATTGACCTTGTCTACTGAGCCCAATCCAGGTCGACCACCTTATCAGATGCGCTACTTTTACCCACTTCTTCATCCAAATCTCCGGCGACCACAATGATTTCTGAGATTTTAGCCTGCTTAGCACGGCACTCAGCGCTTCATAAAACTTGTATTTCATGGTGTCAGAGCCACAGTCTTTTGGGGGAGTGAGCGAACACGATAAACAGACAAAGTTCGACTTCCTGCTTTTGAGACTTTCACGGAGGTTCCCAAACGAACCGCATAATTGTGACTCAACGGGTATCCGCTCGTGCAAGGATCCTTCTAAGCTGTGACTCAAGTCACAGCAGGATGTGCAGGAGCCTCAGCATTGCCAAAAGGGCACAGCCGGAAGCGAATGCGGGATGATAGCACAGTTAGCTCAACCGCTATACTTGCATCCTAAATTTTTACCTCAGGTAAAACACCCTCCATTGCCAAACAGGATAATTGTGGGAGCGAGGGCAGTTTGACGTTCTGTTTGGGATACGAACAGTAAAAGGAGTCAGATCGACCTGGATTTGATTATAAGGATTGATTTCAGGATATATTAGAGTGAGAGCTGGCTGGTGCTCAGGTATTGCCACCAAAACCGACACAAGACAAACGGCCTCTTCAGTTCTAATGGGTGGGCCTTCAAGGAAAATGAGCGAGATGGCTCAAGTGGTTATAATTTAAATTTACTGACCTGAAGTTCTGTGGTTGAAACCCGACCCCTGCATCGCGACTTTCACTCAATATTTTTTTCATGGTGGGGGTTTTTAATGGGGTGAGCGGAGGGGGGGGGGAAGAAAAGCATGTGGAGAGAAATAATGGAGACGTCAGAGTGGCCTCTTTTCGCTTGCATGCTCTGCTGTAATAATAATAATCGCTCAGCTGTAACACCCTTTCGGTACTCAGCTGCCAAACTACCCGAAGGAAACACGAGGGCTGAGAAACTGCCACGTTGCTCAAGCCTAGACAGGAGAAGTCGGAGTCAGAGGCTGGGTTCGAACCACGGACCTTTCGCTCAGTACGTTCGCGCTCTACCCACTGAGTCATCTAGGGTGTAAACAGCACGCAACGGTGATGTGACACGACAGTATTTTTAGTTGCTGAAACATGGTTGTACTTAGTCTTGAATACCGCTAGGATGTCGATATCTAGACTAGAGGACAATTAGGGTCCTTAAACGAGGCCTTTGACTTGAGTATCCGACTGCAAGGCACAGCGTTTGGCGGAAAATGCCATTTCGTTATATTTTCTGAGGAAGTCACCACACGTGTCCCAACTTCAGCGCAGCTCAGTGGGTCACCGAGACGAATAAACCGTCACCCAGTGGCAAAGCCCACTCTTTCCGTGACGACGTATCCACACATTCCAAGGTCTTTTTGAGCAGGAGAATAACGATTATGGTTAATCGGCACACGTACGCTGCTCAATAATGAATAAGAGCATCTCGTTTGGTTGAAGTCCCTTTTGATACTTACAAATGTGTCTCTCATGTCCGAAGTAGGTACCTCAATATTATGGAAGATG